ATTTCTAAGGGTCAGTTACCTTTTAAAATATATCATGTAGATCATTATGGACTAATAGACAAGGATCGGGTGATAAAATATCTTTTAGTCATTAGATTCTCTCACTAAGTATGTTAAGTTATACCCGACGAAGACTACTGTAACTAATGATAGATCAGTTAATCCTTCATTTTTCTAATTATAGTAGACCACGCACCATAATATCCAATAGAAGGACGGCATTCCCGTGAATTCGAATTTTTTTTCGAAGATAACAATATTCGACACATATGTACAGCGACACATTCATCTAAAGTTAACGGACAGATCGAGCAGGTGAATCGAGTATTAGGACCCATAATTAGTAAACTTACAGACAACGACGCAAAGAGATACTGATTTAAAATTGACAATGAATTTGCGATAAATAACTCCGTTCATAAAACTACTAATGAGAGTAAATTACTGTTTGGCGTAAATCAGCGAGGTAAAGTCATAGATGTATTCGCGAATATTTAGTTAATAACATTACAACTGTCGATCGAAATTTAGTGCGCTTGCGAGAGAGCGCGAGTGAAAAGATAAAGTGAAGCCAAAAATATAATAAACAATATTTTGACAAAAAACGTAAAGCGCCACACACCTATTGTGTTGGTGACAGTCTTATGATAAGAAACATAGATACTACTAAGGTACGTTCCCATAAAATTATATCTCAATTTAGAGAGCCGAAGTTAGGAAAGTGTTGCGTAACGATAGATACTAGGTGTATGCATAAGTTTTTTCCGGTTTTTTGGTAAAAAAAAAACATGTAATTTTCAAGGGAAATTAATTTTTTTTTATTCAAAATATTGGCCATCGACTTCTACACATTTCGCCCATCTTTCAGATAATTTATGAATACCATGCCAGAAAAACTGCTTGTCTTTTGCAGCAAACCATTCGTCGAGTCATTTTCCAACTTCTTCGAAATTGCTGAAGTGCTGCTCTGCGAGCACGTGCCCCATTGATGCGAAGAGGTGATAATCAGATGGCGCCAGGTTTGGGGAGTACGGCGGGTGCGGAAGGATGTCCCATCCAAGCGATTTCAAGGTGTCTTTCACTGGTTTTGCTGTGTGAGACGGCTTAACAAAATCACTTTGCTATGTCTTCTGGCCCATTCCGGTCGTCTTTCGATTAATGCGTGGTTTAAATTAATTATTTGTTGGCGATAGCGTTGTGTATTAACGGTTTCGCCGGGCTTCAAGAGTTCATAATACACAATACCGCTCTGGTCCCACCAGACACAGAGCATGGTCTTCTTGCCGAAGCGATTTGGCCTTGGTGTTAATGGACCGGCTTCACCAGGTGAAAGCCACGATTTTTTCCGCTTCGGGTTTTCAAAATAAATCCATTTTTCGTCACCCGTCACAATTCGATGCAAAAATGATTTCCTTTCGTAGTGTTGAAGCAGCATTTCACAAGTGACTTTGCAATTTTCCATTTGACGTTCATTCAAATTGTGTGGGACCCATTTACCGAGTTTATTGATCTTTCCCATTGCTCGTAAACGTCTGCTGATTGTTTCTTGTGATACATGTAATGCTTCTGCTAATTGCCATTGAGTTTGAGTTGGGTCTTCATCCAATAACTCCTGCAATTGTTCGTCTTCGCATTTTTGTGGTCTACCAGAGCGCTCACTGTCTTTCATATTGAAATCACCATTTTTAAATTGTCGAAACCATGTCTCACATGTTCTAATCGATGGAGCGTGTATGTTTCTACCAGCAAACGATGATTTTCAACAGCCTTTTTCTTTTGATTAAATAAAAAAAGCAATGAGTGTCGCAAATGTTCTTTTTCAGGCACAAAACTCGACATGATCACTGAACGATAAAACAAAGATGCTAGTTTTTGGCGGACTCAACTTGTGTGTGTTTGTACGCGTTTGTTGTGCGTTAGTTGCGGCGCTGCGAACGTTAACTGCGGCGCTGCGAGCGCCAGTGGCGGCGCTGTATGCGTCCGTCGCGGCTACGGTCGTTCTTTCCGTTACTCTTCCCATTCGCTCTCTGTCATGGCGTGCCGCGTGCAGACCTCGTGTAAGTCTCTGCGATAGTAAGTTAGAACTCAGAAGTTTAGGTTCCGAATTACTTTGTGTATTCCGCGAGACCGATAACGATCACTATTCATGTCTGTGATAATTGTTAGCTTCGTCAGATAAATTCTTAGAGTGTATTTTCATAGTTCTAGTATTGTAACTCCGCGACACGATGCCGGTATCCGAGCCGTCTTACACGCGCAATCACGTCTCTGTTTTCTAATCAACATTTGTATTTAGTATTTAGTTAGTTAGGCATTAAGTGTGTATTAAATCACCTCATGGCATAAAACCAGAAGCAGTGCGTAGCGCTCATTCTCAACCTAACGTTTTCCCACCATACGTCCTTTGCCGTGGTTGGCAACCACCGGTTGCCAACCACGCCATATTGCGTAGTACGTGATCTAATAGCCATCACTTTTCGCTGGCGCCATCTCTTAGTTAAACCGGAAAAAACTTATGCATACACCTGGTATGTAGTAGCAGATATAAGCGATCATCAAATGACGCAAAATCTTATGAGGGTACATGAGAAGCAAATATGCGACCCTGGACGGAGCTAACAACTCCGATATCGGAGTAAGGTCAGGAAAGCCCAGTTGTAATATTATTAAGAAAAGAGATATTAGCGAGTAAGATTTGTTATACGTATGGAATTTCTTTATTTGACTAAGGGCTCCTTGCCTTAATGAGTTCAGCCCTGATAACCATTTTGGTCTTTATGCGGAAGCCTAACAAGAAAGGGGCAGTCCGAAACAAGCCATATTAGAAGTTGTTTTGCGTTTCTTGTAAAATACAACTTTAAAATATAACCTACAAGCCTAAATCGTTGTTTTTTGTACATCCTGATGACAGAAGACCTTTACAAGTCATATGACAAATAAAAACAAGTGATACATGCATACATGTTAAATAAAATGCAAATATAAACTTAAATTAACATAATTAATAGTTAAATCCAATAAACATTATTGCAATTATATAATAAGCAAATATTAACACAAGTTAATAATTTAAAATGATAAATAAACAAAAGATAATTTCAAATGATAAATAAACAAAAAAAATTTGAAAATAATAAATTCTAATAATATTCTTTGATTATTATACATAACTAAGTCACTTAATATATACACGCGCGCGCGCGCACACGCATACACGCGCACACACACACGCGCACACACACACACACACACACACACACATGCGCACACACACAGAGGTGCGGAGCCATACTTTTACTAGCAAAGTTGGATCTGTCATTGCGAATCATTACAGAAAGCGTTTTCAAAACGCAATGTGCAATATTTTTTAATTATTTCATTTTTAAGATCGTGACAATTTGGCAGCAAATACAGAAGGTCTTGGAATCTCTTGCATAAAAATTTTGTGATATTGTCTTGAAAGAACATATATAATATCCATAATTATTGATTCCATGCTTTTAAAAAACTAAAACATTGAAGAATTGATATAAAATGTCTCTTCTGTAAAACATTTAATACGCATAAATACATAAAAAAGTATACGCTTAGTACGCTTAAATCCCGCACCAATACATTCGTGGCATCAAAATATAATATACATCGGAATATCTGGAATAATATCTCGAATACTTGGAATAATATATATCATTTAATAATTTATTTATATTAAAAAATCATAAAAGCAAGATTTTATTAACTTCACAAAACACCGAGTTATCAGACGAAATCCAGTCTTGTCGTCGTGTTTTTAACTCAAATTTTTCTTCTTTTTGGATCTCGTAGAAAACGACACATTTTATAATCTTTTTTGGCAAAGTTTGTGCAGTAATCTGCTACAAATCGAGGCGTTGTAGCTCTAATGTGTCAAAACACAAATAGGTTAAGTTATAATGACTACACAAGAAATTCATGTTTTTATTGAAAGAATATATAAATCCACTGCAATCCACTCGCCTTTCTTTCTTCTCAATCTAAATGACTTGCCAAATAAAACGATCAATAAACGAACCACTCATCTCTGATGACTTTGACGCACACAAAACTCGCTGGAAATAGTGTAAATGGCTATATAAATGGTACACTGATAGTACATGGGTATGCAACTTCCGCTTTTGACTCAATTTAGCAGACCAATCATCGATCGTTACTCTTTGTTGTCCGTATTCTTATTATATACTCTACTCTTTCGTACAACTGTCCTCTTTCCGTGTATATATAATTATAATCATATACAGAATGTCCCAAACTTTTTGACACGCCATGGCTGTAGGCTGTAGATAGAGCGGACAAACTCGTCGAAAAGTCCTCTACCATTTTGCAATTTCCGCAATCTTTTTTTAGTTACTCAATGAGCACTGTCTAAAATCGATACATAAAACAATTTTAAGTTGTCCTTAAGAGTTTTTTAAGAAACATATTTAAGATATTTCACAAAAGATATCTTGAAATTGTCTTAGACGTCGATTTTACTCATATATTCAACAATTTTTAAGAAATTAATATCTTAACTATTGTGAAAATTACAAAATGGTAGAAAATTTTTCGACTTACAATTAGTTTAATCAGGGCTACACCTGCTCACAAGCGATATGTCAAAAAGTTTAAGACACTCTGTATATTATAAATATTATTATTATTAACATTATAGTAATAACTACAAAAAGAGAATTCCATAATATTTTATTATGCAATTATAGTCACAAATATCAAATATAACTTTTCTCAGTATTAAATAGGAACAAGAATGTATTTCATATACGTATATCAATAATATTTTTGCGCGATGAATATCTTATTTAGTAAATCGATCTTTTTTTATTGATATATGCACTATTTTCTTTGCTATCTATTTGCTATACATAATAGAAGATTCGATAATCTCCCATTACTTTGCTACTTTGCTATCGGTGTATGTGACGTCGATCCGTTTTCACGAGAAATCTGTCTCTCCGTTCCAGAGCGGCACGACGAATCCAACAGTTAAACTATTTTGCGTCGATCTCGACATGGTGGTGCAAGGTAACGTGACTTTGGTGGAGATCGAACATCCGCCAGAACTGTCTACCTCCGAAAGGATTCTGTCAGCGGTGGACTTTCCTACGGACAGTCTCGTGTACGCAACTTGGATGAACCGAGTGCAGAATAGGGCGTATTTCCAACTCTGCGATGTCGACAGTCTGCTGCCAAATTGCACGACAGTAGGTATTTCTTCATTTTCACGCAAGAAAGACAATCTTCCAGTTCTGAACAGAATATGGAGGGGAAGGAAGAGGGAGAGAGAGAAGAAGTTCGTTTGATAGTATCCTTTATGGAGATTCTGGTTTCTCTCTTTCTCTGTATTCTTCATTCTCTTTCTTCGAATTTCCGCGGATCTTAATTTAGACAAGTGTTCTTCCTTTAGTTAGGCAATAGTATTTTAATTAGTGCGCGCTTGCCTGCGGCCCGGCTAATTCGCACTTTCGCGCGAGTCTTTCGCGACTGTTTCTCTGGGAAAACTTGGACGTTACAAATTCCAAGTATCGGTAAAGATTTCGCATTACAAAATTCTGTAATAAATTTAATTTCGTATTAGAAGCGTGAAATTAACTTTATATTGCGAGAAATAATTCTTTTGGGAAATATTTTTTTTTTACGTTGAACGTGCGAATTAGCTGTTGCGTTAAAATATACTAAAGAAAAAAAAGGGTTATAAGAAGTTGCAATTATGAAGTATGACTAGTCGTGTATTTTTTGTGTTGTTAAAGAGGAAAAGCAAATAGCTTCCTTTTTACTGGATCGCTTTATTAATATGCTTGTTTATTTTAGCTCGTACATTTTCGCGAAAAATACAATGTCGATTCAATCCTTAAATGTCACAATGTGGAAATAATACACTGCAGTATGATATTCAATTCAATTATATTTATAATATTCATAAAAATATATTGTAAAATTTTTTCTCAATCAAAATGTTAACTTAAGAGACATATTAAGGAAATGTATGTATTTTTATCAATAAAAAAGTTAAAAGCTACAGAAAAATAAGCGTTGGAAAAAAGAAAATCAGATATTCTATATAGAAAAAAACTAAGAAATAATTTTTCGGGAATACACGTGGATATAGATGTGTGCACGCGCGCGCGCGTATGTGTGATATCATCACATCGAACGCAATGGCAAGAAAATCTTTACATTTTTTTTATGCACGACGATATATCTTAAATAAATTGAAAGAACACAATTTGCTGACTAGGATATGTTTGATTGCTCTTAGGCGCTTTCATATAGCGAGACAAATGGCTGGGTAGAGCAATTTGAAGCGCCTACATTCAACGAGGATGGTATGTCGTTTCTTCTGATATTACCGCAGATACAGAAGAACGGTAGCAATTGGCGACACGTTGTACTTGTTACGAATGCAACCAGCGGCAGGCCGGTCACCACTGCCCTCACCTCCGGCTATTTCGTCGTGACGGAGATAGTATCCTGGGATAGGGAGGACTCATATCTGTGAGTATGAACGCAATTTATTCCAGAAATCCGTGCACCGCTAATCAAGCAATATTCCTAAATGTCTTAATATTTTTGGGAGCTTGATTTTCGCGGCAATCTAATGAGCCGCTATTTCGCAGTCCTTGTCAAGTTTTAAAGTCTATACTATTAATATGAGTCTCTATTTTTCGAAACGTTATTTTCATAACAAATAGATAACTATTAAATAGATAACTATAGCGTGACAAGTTTAAATTATATTTTATCATACTTTGACGAGTTATATTGATTTTAATTTTGCTGATATTAATGCAAATTTTTAGATTAAAAATAATGTATGTTGTTCTGAGTACGAGGGAATAATGTAGAAAATGAGTATCTTGAATTGAATAAAGATGCGTTAATATCAACTTAAGAAAATAGATATCTGAATAAACGATATAATTATTCAAAGCTTGCATAGGAAAGTTCTTTTAAGACGATCACCTCAATTACTTAAAACTTTTGTGTCGATAATCTACTATTAGCGATTGACCCAAATAGATTATGGTACATTTTCACTTCTTCGAAAATTTTCCGGCAATTTCAGTCTTTTTTTGCTACAAATTAGGAAACTACGAAATTTCGATCGATTTGCTGCCGACGCATAACTTAATGGAACGAAGATAATTAAATCAGTCAATAATATATAATTAATATATAGTTTATATATATTATCCAAAATTCTAATTACGAAATAACTACCTATTTACATTAAAAATAAAACTTGTTAAAAAATTAAATATATAGCGTTAATTTCTTATATAAATTTATTTGTCATATTAAATTAAAAAACTAAACTATAAATAAACTATAATAGTTTATTTAAAATTGATAAACTTAGTTAATCAAAAATTAATTTAATTACAGAAATTACATAAATGATGTATGATATTAAAAAATACATTACAATGATATTTACATAAAATATTTTTACACAAGAATTATCTCAAGAATAATGTATTTTATTTTTATTGTTATCTATATTATTTACATTTCTATCTGCGTTATTTTGCATGCGAATCTTTGCAAAACAAATGTATATATATTTATTCAATTTATCTTAAAAATATGTGTATTTGTAATTCTGAATTTTTGCCAATCTATCTAAAAAAGGATAAGTTTTTTATTTTATATACTTCTGTTTCTTGAGTAAGCGTAGCTGTAGTCGAGCGAACTGTTGCGTATGCGTATATGCATCCTGTCCGGGGCACGAATTCTCGAATACGAGATACTTGCTCTCTTCTTAGGCATTCATCCCGGCCGATGACGTTCGGAAAGATAGTGAGTGAAATGGTTCAGAAATAATTTGCAAAGTGAAAGCAGAACTCTGCGACAAAGTGCGGAAGTGGGAAGTTGCATGATGTCGTCGTGGCTTTAGGAGAAAGAGAGGGAGGGGGGATAGAGAGCGAGAGGATGGATAAGTCCTCTCGATGGGTTGACCTCGCCTCACAAGAAACGGCTGACTTAATTGCGCGTTCATAAATTAAACGAGATCTCCGTCGAGGGAACGAAGCGACCCGTTATCGTCGCATGAATTTGCTTTTTCTGCGTCTGGAAATCCGCGTCGGTCGATTAACGCTCGATAGAAATGGTCGACGGGAATCGAATTACCGTTCGCATCTTGCGATCAGAAGTTCAGGTACGTCGTTGCGTTGGATGATTTCCTGCCGCGCGTTTCCTCCGTTTCCAGGCAATGAAAAGACCATCGGAAGACGTTGCACTTTTCATCTCGAGAAAAAAATTACTTTGATCGGGCGTTAATGACGTCTGAAGTTTCGTTGCATTTCATTGCGCTAAGAAGTGACTGAAATTCGCGATAGTAATTTGCGATTGAAGGGAACAGAATGTGAACGAGCTTTCCAGTCGCTTTAAAGTGTATAAACGATGTGAAAAGTTTTAATCCGATAATATTTTTAATCGAAATAGTTTAAGTTTTTCCTTTTTCCAACTATCATGTTAACCAAAAATTATTTAAATTATTATTATATATAAATAATTTATATAGATATAATTATTTATATATAATTATATATTGTATAATTATAATTTTAATAATTTTTGATTAACTTAATTTTACTTAATCATAAATTTTTTAAACGTAATATTTACAATAAAAATTGTATATGTACATTTTTAAATATATGTATACATTTTCTAAATAAAAAAAATTATATATTCTTTTAAAATTTATATAAAGTGATTTATATAAAATCAGTAAAAAATCAATTATATGAAGAAAATGCTATTAATCAAACGGAGATAATGATTTGAATCTCTGGATGATGTCCCGGAAATTTCTCTCGCATTGCAAATTTCTAAAATTTTGTTGAAATGTTGAAACATCCATCGCAGAGTAGCCTCGATTAAATGATAAGAGATACGCTTGCTTCCAGTTTCCGCCATTAAGCGTCCACAGTCCACACACTCAATGAATTTAGCGAAGTCATTCCATTGCACGTTGTCCGTACTCGCACATACAAGAAGTCGGATCTCAACGAACGCAGACTGCATCCAGAGTAACGCGCATGAATTAATCATTAGGACGGTGTAAACAGAGAACGGAGTTCAGGAGTTATTCAGTGGCGTGGCGTTTGCGGACGACATAACGGCGTAATCAATGCGCGGAATCCGCAATACGATCGCACTCTCACATGTGTCGGAATGTATCAATATAGTATGCATGCAGCGTGTCATCGCATTATTATCTTGAGACGTGAGTGATCAATGCCCATGTCCCGTAAATATTCCAATCAATTAAAACCGAGTTTTGATGGAAGCAAAATATCTGGATCCATAGTTAAGTTCGCAGAAAATTTTAGGAATTTAGCTAAATTGCGACTATTCATACAGCACAAACCTCCAAGGGAAGTGTAAAACCGTCTACAGAATGTTCTATGTTTTGAGAATGTTTTTAAAATATCTTTTCGATAAAATATGTAATCTGCGTACATGTCTAAGTTCGTAATTGAAGTTTGCAAAAGATAGAGATTTAATTAAGTTGCGATCCATATAACAAATCTTCAAGATACGTTTTAAAAACATAGAGAAACGTCCAGAGAATTCACATTTTTTAGGATAAAAGATCCATTAAATAAAAGGTCCGTTTTTTATTCCTGTATTGAAGAACTTTTTATTCCTGTACTAGAACTTTCTTTCTTGCTTTCATCAAATATTAATTATATACCTATCTCACTTTAAGTTCCAAAAGTGTACACTATCAGCCACAAAAAATAGACCTAATGTGTGCTGTATGGGTCTGTGCGATTGTGGACTTTCAAGTTGATCGGCCAAATGTAAATTTTTGTTAACTGGACGCAAACTGCAGTTAATTCAGTTTCAACTAAAAACCTCGTTTGCGCAGTTAGTTTCTGTATCGCATAACTACGGTCGATCGACAGAACTGACGTCTCTCCGCAGCACCCGGGAGGAATGTGCAAGAGAACTCTGTGCGGTTCGTTACCGAGTTAAGTACGGGTTAAGTAATTACAGCGATATACATGCTTTAATCACTAGAGACGCCAGCGAGACTTGAATCGTAAGATATTAAGCGCGTTTATCGCGTCGGGATCATCGTCGCGCATCCACTGCATTTCCGAATGAGGGATGCGCCCGAATTAACTTGCAGCGTCTGCCACCCCGCGCGAACAGTTCGCATGGACAGGCCGCAACCGCAAAGCCGGGAAATGTTTGTGAGCTGCTTTCGAAAACTCCGTCATGCCGGTTGGATGGCGGGGCGAAATGGAACCGTCACTGTATTCCGGAGATAAACACCAGAGAACGGTTACGCCCATTCTATTGTATAATATTAACTGCCTTTATTATTCTACTCGTCACGTTGCACACTCGTTAACTCTGATGATGTATCTCGCAGGATACGTCTCTGTATCTCGTCACCTTCGCGAATTTCCTCTTTTTCAATTTTTGCAGACACTAAATCAATTTTTCACAAATAAATAAAGAAGGACCAAATATAATTGAGACTTGTAGATTATTTTGTTGTACCTGATAATAGTTATGTGTAAATGCTTAAATACATCTTTCAGTTATATAAACTTCGCGACTCTTACTCTGTCGGACTTGAAATGCAATTACAAACTGAAATAATAACGTCACAGATTACATTGATTATTAATTTAACTCTCAATTATAATGAGTCATTTGAATCAGACACAAAAATTGTTGAACGATTGTACAATCTATATGATTGGTACTATGAAGCTTGGTACTATGAATCAGGCCTTCAATTTTCAGAGCTTCAGAGCCAAAAAAACAAAGCCATCGACGCAAAAAAATTCAATGTGAATAAGATTTCGGGAACTGTATAATGTCGATAAAAGTATTGATCAGACGCGTATCAGCAGTTCTTAAAATCGTACTCATATTGATTTATTTTGCATCGATGGCTCTGCGTTTTACCTTCGAAGCTAAAATTGGACAGGCCTGCTTTAAATTGGACAACAATTTTGAATTTTCCTCTATCGTAAGGCGGAAGTTTATTTATATTCTGTAATTTCAAATAGGATTTTTTAGAATTTAAATGTAGTTTTCATAATTCTAATTGAGATTTAATAATAATGCTAATAAACATCAATTTCTATGTAATAATAAAAACGTAACAAAACAGACGAAAAATTTGAAGCTTCTATTATATTTGTTCTACTATATTTGTGAATTTGATCATAGTCTTTCATAAGGTGAAATTTTCTTTCTATGTTGTGATATGCGCTTAAGGAGATCCTAAAGGCGATTAGTCATATTGAAAATAGCATTTACACACAGACGATTTACGTATCATTACGTATCATTGACACATTACTACATTAATTTCTCACGTATGTACGTCATATATACACATAAATTTTCGTATAAAAAATAATTGTAAGTTTTAATTGTAAGTTCAACTTTAAAAACTTTTCACATTGTTTCTTTAAACAACTAGTCTGTGGACTATTATTTTATAAGTACAGATTGCACAG